CAACCAGCCTACTGCTTGAAATTATCATTGATATACACTGTTTTTATGATACGGCTTCCGAGTTTATTTCGTTATTACTACCCCAAAAGTCCAATCTTCAAGGCATGCACCTGGCTCGTATCTTTGCGTCATGGTATATATCGATTCACAGAGTGAACCGGATAAAAACATGAAGCGCTGAATTCGCAATCGAGAGGCCCGGGTTCAAACCGCGTACCGCCCATCCTGGCCGTGGTTTCCCTCGGTCATCCATGCAAATGCTGGGATGCTTCTACTGAAAGACAACAACCGCGAAATCGGCGTAGCTAGACGAATTCGTTAACTACGCGAAATCACGAAGGTTTCACGAATTCGAGATCGCGAGTTTCTGGTTGGGTGACCGACTAGGAACCCTGGGATGTAACGGTGCCGATACAAATTGTCCTTTACGGGACATATACTGGCTGAAAACAAATGCAAATACAAAAATATTCAAAATACATTGATTCCTAATACGTAAATGCAATTCGTTGTGTTGTTCGTTTTTCAAAAAAACGTAAAGACTCGATACTGATGATTTAATTTCTGAAGTTTGTGAAGATCTCACGCGTTCACACACAGTGCACAGAGTTCACAAATTTTTTCCGAATTAGAAATAATTTGTATACGGAATTTTATTCCGTAAGTTCTAGCTTCTGCTCATATATCTCACCTTTTTCGTGTTAGATAAAACATTTTAACTCAGTAGTTGAAAAGTATCTCCACAGTTTAGAGAGAGCCCACAGATTTCATCAAGTTAAAGTGGCACATTTAGCAATGTGAGCTGGCTTAATGCAACATAAGTAGATTTTTTGACATCTCTGGTGTTGCAATATTATTTGTCAAAAGACTCAATATCACACAGATCATTTACTTTGCGTTACCAGAACGTTAGCAAAATAGAAATAAAAATTGATAATGTAGAGTCTAAATGCGTCAATGTAATGTAATGTGATTATCGCAAAAAATGCATTTCGTAAACTTTGAAAAATCTACAAGAAGATATTAAGAAGGGTATATTGTTGAACTGTCTACGGTTTTCATTTAGCTGAATTCAAGTCTTCTTATAAATAATGGTTTCATTTTCATCTATATATCTTACTATTCAGTGTTGAAAACAATTTGTGGATCCTGAAAAGCATTCCATCTAATATTGCGAAATTTGTTTATCTGCAACAAATATCCAGTCTTCAATGTTTACTCAGGATACCACGGCAAAATAATTATTATGTCACACAAATTGATAAAACTTAGCACTACTGTTTTTTTAAACAAACACAGTAGGTAATTTGTAGATTTAAGGGTTGGGAATGTGTCTAACATCAATGTCGGTGATTTTAGAATAAGAGATGGTTTTTAATAATGGACAATTTCACATATTATGGTAGTTATAAAACTTCCATGATAATGTTATGAGATCCATTTATTTCACGGAACAAATATTGCTCAAATATTATCGTAGTTTAGGTCGATAGACACAATACTCTTTCTTGGGAATTCTTAATTTACAAAATATTTGTAGAGCATTTTCTGCCTTCATAACGATAAGTATAAGATGAACTCATATCACCTGAAAAATTAAAATATCACATCATTCAAACCAAGAGTTGTCTTCATACTCGTATGTATAAAAATTTGAATATTTCGCAAGCACACCATGACACAAATTTCAATGTACTGGACAACGTCGACAACTTCATTCAACCTAAGCGGCTTATTCGCATGGATACCTACATCGGTATCAATTTATAACAAATAAATTCTCATGAAACATTTGACGTTAAGTTAGATACAGTTTTATGTGATAAATATAGTGGTCATCGTGAATCCGTTAACGACACAAACTTCTTTCGTACTATCACGTTTTAGTAGACCATCCAGTCTACAATTCAGAAGGTTAACAATCTTCTTCAGATAATATAATGAATCATTCTGAAGCATAGACTAAATACTTGCTTAGAAATCGTGCATTCGTAACCAACGCACAATTCACAATATAACACACACAAATTTTCGTTGTTTACAAACACTTCATACACATGTGTAACAATTGAAGAAATTATACATAAAAGATTCAAGAAACTGTATTGTACATAGACGTACACACACAAACATTTAAAACAATGCATTTCAAATACTTAAGAACTATCATGAGTGCGAGACACCGCAATCGACAAGGCCACTCAACAACACGTGAATACTCCAAGACAATTAGTACGTGAGTGAAACTACGGCACTGCTACGGTACTGCACTAGACTTGCTGACGTGTCGCAGGCCACAACATCCATCAGATAGCGGTGCGGTGTGCTGTGCAGCGCCCAAATAGGGAGGGGGACATGTCGGGTGACGGAAAACCGATGCACACAATTCCCGAACCACTCCGCAAACCTGCTTCCTATCAGAGTAACCTGAAAGGGTATCGATATTATCCCGAGTAGTGAAGAGGAACTTTTTTTGTTCGTAAGTTCAGACAAGTGATTGCACCAAAAGTCTATCAAAAAGTTTGAAATTACTTCTCATGAAAAGTTTTCGAGAAAGTTCCTACGTGAGTGATTTAATCGTAAAAAACGCACATTATATTTTGTCAGTTTAAATAAAGAACACATTAAAAGAAAATTCCGGTAGATTGCAAACTTTTTTGAATATCCGTACGTTTTTCCTGTCAATCTTCATTTGTTTAAAATCAATATCACGATTAATTATTGCAGGAATTATATAAAATATATTAATAAAAAATCTTACATTATTCCTGAAGTGAATGGTTGTGCAAACAATACCAGTTCCAGTGGAAGGAAAGAATATTCAAGGAATGCAATTTAAGGAACTCTGTTTTGAGTATAGTTTCTGGAGAGGGTGTAACTTGAGTTTAAATCATTCACTCAATGATTCCCGGGCTTCAGATAGTCGATTCCCGAGCTCGAGAAGTCATTCAGAGAACGATTCTAAATTAAATTTTAATCAATATTTCGCAAATTTTAATTAGCGTACAAGATTGATAAAAATGGATACTGTCGGGTCTAAGGAATTTAAGTGATGAAAATCTGGAATATTAAGTTTTTCACGCAGGGCGCTCTAGGTACCAAAACCAATGAACTACTATAAAAACATGTGACTCATCACTTGATTTTTGTTATAATAGACATCAACAAATAGGCACTGCAAAGGCCAGATTTGTACTCAGTCAAAATGTCTCATTTTCCAGAAGAAGTACTTTTGAAGAACGCTGAACCTCACTATTCTACAAATCAAGCTTTTCGCATGACAGCGACAATTTTATGAGCCGACTTTTTCGAACCAAGCTAATTCCCTTCCTCACGGATCGGAGTGTGTGCATCGCAGTCCTGCCATGGAAGAGGGGGTGCACCTGAAGAAGGGAGGGGGGGAGGGAGGGAAAGTGGGGGACGAGTCGGGCGCTCTACGGCTCTAACTAAGGCCCAGGCCTCGGGCATGCTACACCGAGCCATGCACGGCCGCGCGGCCAGCGCCGCCCTAGAGGCGGCCAGGCAGCCGCCGGCGCCGGTCAACGCTGCTCCGCATGCACAGGGGGTGGGGGGGACGGTGCGGCCCTGCCACGGCTTCGCTCCGCGATTCTCGCTTGTTCACTTGTTGATACTCGCGCGCCGCGATTCCAAACGCCATTCTCAAAATAATAAGAGATCGTAGGTTTCCGCGGCCGCAGTCAGGTGTTTGGCCGTCCAGGACACGCCGCGTCCTAGGCACACGTGCCAACTTTTCAGCTGCCACTCTGCGTCCTTCCTCAAGGCAATGTACCAATCGCATTTCGTCCTGCGGAAGAACGCAGTGTGGCTCCTGAAATGTTGACACCTTAGGCACACGTGGCAACCTTTCGGCTGCCACTCTGCGTCCTTTCTCAGGGCAAACTACCAATCGTATTTCGTCCTGCGGAAGAACGCAGTGTGGCTCCCGAAATGTTGACACCTTAGGCACTCGTGGCAACTTTTCAGCTGCCACTCTGCGTCCTTCCTCAGGGCAAACTACCAATCGCATTTCGTCCTGCGGAAGGTCGTAGTGCGACTCCCGAAATGTTGACACCTGTGGCTAGGACAGGGCGTCTCCGATCAGCCAAGCAGCTACTGGCGTAATTAATTTGAGAAAATGAAAACTTTACTGTCCAAGAAATACCCCGTCCACGCAGTATTACCAACGTTTTGATATAATGCGACCATTTATCTAACTATGAGACGTGTATGAGCTTTGAAAAATATGTGTTGTAAGCCGTGAAACTTATGACGCTGCCTCTTGACCCTCAAGAAGCCGTCAACTTGCTAACGCCTATGTCATCAGAATTCAATAGGGCCAAGTTGGCATTATTTTACTTCATTTTGAATAACTATATACGGGTAAATGCATGCTCTCCAGAAGTTCACAGTATGCCTAACGAAACTTAGTCACACTTTAAACATTCTCATTTCTTGTAGTTCACGACCAATTCGTGCTGACAGTTCCTAAGTTTTGGAAAGAAATTAAGTGAATTAGTACAAAATAATATTGTTTCCCAACATTTCGAAAATTTGAATTTTCAATAGAGCGCGTTCTGACGACGAAAATACAAATTTGGCTCAATATATTTGTTATCGTCAAAAAAGTATTATATCTTTTCTTGTAGTTTACTACCAATTAGTACTATATTGTTAACAGCTCGTAAGTTTTTGATTAGAGTTGATAATTTTCGTGAAAAAATTCTAATTTTTAAGCACTTTGGATGTTTATTTTACTACATTTGTAAATTCTGTCGATGCCTACAATTGTAAAATCCGTCGTATAAATTACCAAAACATTGACAAACTAACAGTAAACTACTTTTAGTACTATTGTTCATTTTTGATCACGTACTGTCTACTGTTTGAACTATTGCAGAGATTATCCTTTCAAAAGAGAAATTAACTTATTCGTGGCAAACAATTTCTAATAGTTTTGTTACACATTCTGTGTGACTATATCAGTTCATACATGATTGCATCTACACAAGAAGTGAAATGTCGATGTGAACCCCAAAAGGCATGAGCTAAAATAAGTAAGAAAATTGATTTCATGAATGATTAAATTATGAAGAAAAGTTGTTTTCTAAAAGTGAAAAATACAAAACCGTTCACGACAAATGAAAAACTTTTGAAAGAATATCCACAGAGACTAAAATGAAAGAGTTCGTGTTTCCCTCTTTAATCTCTGAACAGATGTCACCGTTTCTGTATTTTCAAGGGAATTGTCTCTATAAAAACGTCGCCGCGATGTCCTAATCCGTCAACACGGAATGAGATTTACGACAAGCGTCCATTGTGTGCTGAGTCAACAGCGCGGGGCGATGGGCGGCGAGCGAAGTCGTGGCAGAGACGAACAAAAGAACACTGAGGAAGATGACAGCGGTCTACTTGGGCTCTCTTCACTGGCAGAGAGGCCCGTCGCGCGAGAGAGGGGGGAGTGAAATGTGGCATTTCGAGCACGTCCGGCATCGAACCTCGGACTTTCTTGCGCGTGATGACTCTTACGCGTTCGCTCACGACTTTCAAGACGGCTCACTTCTTTAAAAAAAAATTCCTCCTCCTCCTCCATCTCCTTCTCCCGCTTCTTGCTCTTTTACTTCCCCCCTTCGCACAGGTCGTTCCCGGCATTCCACTCGTAACTTACAGAACGGAAGTCTCCACTCTATTGAAAGAGCAAATATACCCTCTTCTCACCCCATAAATCAACCTAAATTGCCCCCTGCTTTCCGACAGAATGACTCCAGCGCCCCAGATTCTATTGCGGCGGCATGTGCTACTAACGTTACCTGGCTTCCGCTTGTACCCTCACCTTCGATTTCGACACTGAGAATTTAAGTACAACATACATCACTGAAGTACTCAAAAATAAAAAATGGTTCTTAAAAACAAAAAAAAAATATCGTAATAGTTTTCAGCCATGAAAGAAATATGTTCAAAAATATTTCAAGAGACATACCTTTCAGTAATATCTCTGAGCCGGCAAGCATATCGAGGCAAGGTTTTGAAAAAAAATAGACGAAATAGCAATTGTTTACTATGAGTCATTCCCATTACCATGTCTATTCATTGGTCACTTACACTAAACTATAAAATAAGAAGATTTTGTTAGACATAGTTATACAAATATTACCAAAGGTTTAGAAAATATGTATATCTCATGCCACAATATATTATACTTAATAAGTACTTATGATAATATTTATAAAAACTATGATATTTGAATTAAGAGTACGTGAGCAAATTTTGTGTTTCTCTGATTTATTTGAGCTTTTGGATTAGAAGCTTGGGTCATACAGAAATACAAACACAAATCTTTCAAATACTATATCATTCTTGTTCCTTAGATTCAAAACGAGTCTAGAAAATACTAAAGGCACGCTATTTACAAAAAGTCATGGTCAACAAATTACTCAAAAATATCAAAAAATGTTCGAAAAAATACGAGCCGAATTGAAGTAACACATCCGATGAACCAAGCTTTGCATAGATTCTGTTTGTGTCTGCGACCTCTGTCCCAGGGACCCGCATTTGCGCGACCGCCTGACGAGGCGGCGTCCGACACCTGCTGAGCATCTTCCTACGTTGGTGCACTGAGAGAGTGAGTGAATGAGGTGCCCCATGCAAGCGGCCGCCGCGGCCGACCGTCCGAAGAGTGGGGTCGTTCTCGTCGGGTGGCGCCACGCCAAAGTGACGTCACAAGAAGGTGGCGTCAAACGAAAGTGACGTCACGCTAAAGTGGCGCCGCCAAAAATAGGCGCCACCAAAGAAGCGCCACCTGAAAGTGATACAACCCTAAAGTGACGTCATTCGATAAATGACCTCACTCTCGGACGTCCTCACACTTGGAGGGCGGCGAGCGCGGCGGCGCGGCGTGCCGCGTCCCGGGGATTCCCCGGGGCTACAAGTACGGGTGCAGTGGCGGTGACTGGCAGTGAAACAGGTTGGTGAGAGGGGTCGTGTGGTGGCAGCACTAGACAGTGAGTTCGTGAAACAGATAGAGTGAGTGTGCGAGAGAGATAGAGAGAGAGACAGACAGAGAGTGAGTGAGAGAGAGTGAGTGAGATAAGAGAGATCGCTCACGTACCCTGGCTGGGGCGAGGTCGGCACTCACCCTGTATCCTCCCAGGTTGTTCACGACGCACGTGAACATGGCGTCTCGGCCCTGCGCGATGGTAACGTTCTCCAGGGGGTACAAGAAGTCGGGCTCAAAGCCCAGCGCTGGAACAAAGAGAACACTCGTGCTAATTCTCAACAAATATGAGAACTTCACATACAGTTGTCACAATTTGAAAGTTTTATTAAACTCTTCCCATTGCCAAAATAATAGTTCGCAAATTTGAAGGTAAAGATGAAAACATTTCTGGCCCCGAGATTCTCTATTTGTCATATTACTATATTTGTAGACACTATATTTTGTCAGAAGAGTGTGCATCTACTCATCAATTTACAAATATTATAATTCAATATTAATAACTCGAAAATGGGAGTGAGTATTTCCAGTAATCACAATAACATGTATTCTTGGAACCAAAGTACCGAATTTGTTCGAATTGAATCCTGGAAAGAGGAATGAGGTGATTATAAATTACTTATAGTTCATTCACATTCAATCTCAGATTTTTTTAAAACCTCTAAGCATTGTTTGGACTTTAAGTTTTATAAAAACAATTCAAGGTATGTCTATGAACTGTTATTATATAAAGAAACATTTAAACAGAATGAATTTCAGGGAATGTGCCCAAATTCTGCAATATTGCAACACATTTATCATTTTTACGGAGGGAAATTCAAATAGGTATCGCATAACCAGAGAAAAGAAAAAACGGGTGGCCATATTTTTATAACTTCTTACGCACTAATAATTATTCTGAAAAACTTCTTAATATATTCCTTCCAAATGTATAACTTTTCGCGTAACTGGGTTAAAACTTAAGAGGATAGCAGTTTACAGCTGGTCGTACGTCTAAGAAACACTCTGCAAACTTACACGGAGTCCATAAATGAGCAAACTTTTTCAAAAGGTTCTGCAAAGGTGGGGCGACGATAGAGGCAACGACAGAGCGTCTCAAGGGGTCACGGACGAGGCAGGTGGGGTAGCGAAGACTTAGGCGAAAGGAGGAAAAAAACAAGGAAAGAAAGGGAAAAACACGAGGAAGAAAGGTATGGTATGGAAGTGATAGAGTGTGACACAAAGAAGAGAACGTGGGAGCGGAAGTTTGGGGAGGGAGAAATGGAAATAGGATAATTTAAAACTTGAATGAAGAACAGAGGGAGAGGACACAGGAAAGCGCGGTGAAGAAGAAAAAGAAGTGGAAGAGAAATACGAGGGAAGGAAGAATAAGGAGTGGAGGAAGAGGAGGGGGAGAAGAAGAAGAGAAGGAGAGTATTATAAAGAGAAGAGGAGAACATACATTTAAAAAAAAAAACAGAAAATTTATGATATCGAGAAAGGCGGAGAGAATGCAGTACGACATTAATAAGAGAAATACTGAAGGAAAAATGTGCACCTTAAAGTATTCATAGTAAATGAAAATTGTAAGATTACAAAAAGTAATATTTAATGGCAAGAAATTGAAAGCGAATGAGTAATAATTGAAGTATGGGCACTATGAGCAATAATATGCTCCATTTGTATTACAATGAATTTGAAAATAAAACAAAGACCGGCACAGAGTAAGAATACGAGAGAGAGCACGCAGTTATAATGGGGAAGAGATGGCAAACCAGAACTGGCCAAGAAAGGGTGCAGTGTGAGATGGGCTGCAAGTTCAGCGCGAGCAGGCCGTGGGTCTCTTCAAAAGGGTCGCGTGCCGCGTCGACGGAGTCCAACAGGGGAGACGCGGAGGGAGGGCGCTATCACGAGAGCTGGCGACACTCGCGACCTACTTGTCGGAGAGCCGCCGACAGGTGCTAATTCCGCGCGATAGCGGTGACACGTAGGAGTCAGCGCAAGTGCACGTGGGTTGAAACGAGATTAAGGAACATTCAGTGACGTGACAATAATAATAATAATAATAATAATAATAATAATAATAATAACAACTAAAACAAATCATAAAAGCGTAGTGCGTATAATCTACGCAAATCTTTCCAAGAAATTAGTTCTCTTGCAGCATCATACACCTTTTCACAATTATCATCCGCAAGCCGCCCTAAAATAGATTATAATGGGATCAAAACGTCCTATCAGGTAAATTCATCCATCACAATAGATCTGATATCACCAGCGGGAACAAAGCATCCAATAAGACCACATTTGTAGTCTTTGCTTAGGTAGACGGTAACATAATGAGAATCTATCAAACGAAGTTGGATGTTTTAAAATAAAAATGCTCCATGTTATAATGGAGGAGTAACCGATCCGATGGGCGAGATCGCTAAGGCAATAGTGCAGTGGTGGTGTCGAACTTAAGTATCGCAGATTCGAGCCCCGGTGGGATTCACGAATCGCGTGGCCCATGATGGCCTATTCACGAAACAAAAAAGAAGGAATGGTCTTTAGGGGACGCGAAAACAAAATCTGTACTATTTTAAATTTGTTTCGTCCAAAGATCACTGGATGAACTGCACAATAATTAATCAATTCTTAACATTCAAAAGGTATTCAACACGCGATTATTATTAAGAAAGTTGGGTGCGAATATTTAGTTACATCTTTTATTCAAAATTTAATGTTTTGAGTTTGAAGAAATGACGTAGGCTCGTAATATTGTTGTTATGTATAAACGTACACGTATTACTGTTTTGAAAGTACTATACTTTTTCCAAATTTTTTATTTTTAAATAAAATGTAGTCACGGTTTTGTGTAATAATACAAAAAGAAGAACAAGAATGGCGACAGTACCCCCTCGGATTTAAATGTGTCGAGGGAAACCTTCGAGGACTGAATGCTTACACAGACAGAATCCAACCATCAGATATTCTGTAAATCGTATGAATCATCAATCACTGGGGAGCGGAACGAGGCTGAACGATGTATGGTAATAGTGAGGCGAGGTGGCGTAATAGATCGGTAGTCACTGGTTCGGATGCTGGCACAAAAAATCTTAATGCTGTGATTTTATTCCTTCTTTGAGACATTACTCTCTTAAAATCGAATTTCGTTCATTCGCGTTCTATTGGTTTCATTGCAAATATTTCTCAAATAAAAACATAGAAGGTATGTGAATAATATTTCGATTTGTAGGCCAGATTATACTAAATCTAATGATTCTTGTTTTAGAAGTCTTGAACAACCCAGCGCTGAGTAACGTAGACGCGAGTAAATGTCTACAAAGAGGAAAATGATGCACAGCTTAAAACAAAAATGTAAACCAGATAAAAATATGTTTTTAAATAGCCAAAACATAAGAGAAAATAGTTATGAAATATGGATTTTATTTGAGATGGTCGAGCAATCAATTTATTAAGTTTTGGCCCACTTAAAATGGATTCGTTCAGTGACGAGATAATATGAAGAGGAAGTGTGGTGGCAAGGCAGTATACAGACGAGATGAGATAAAGACGCTGTATGGAGGCGAGGCAATATGGTAGAATGATGGTGCGTTGGCGAGGTGGTGTGGTGACGATGCAGTATGGTGGTGAGGCGTTGTGGTGACGAGGCAGTATGGAGGACAGGCAGTGTGATAGCGAAACATTATTGAGGGCGAGGATGTACGATGCAGAGGCAGTATGGAGGCGATGTAGTATAGTAGACAGGCGGTGTGGTGGCGAGGAGACGTGGTGGCAAAGAGATATGGTGGCAAGGAGATGTGGTGACAAGGAGATGTGGTGTCAAGGAGATGTGGTGACAAGGAGATGTGGTGTCAAGGAGATGTGGTGACAAGGAGATGTGGTGACAAGGAGATGTGGTGACAAGGAGATGTGGGTGGACCAAGGAGATGTGGTGAGCAAGGGAGAGTGTGGTGACAAGGGAGATGTGGTGACAAGGAGATGTTGGTGGACAAGGCAGATGTGGGTGACAAGGAGATGTGGTGACAAGGCAATGTGGGGCGAGGAGGTGTGGTGGGCGACGGAGGTGTGGTGGCAAGATGTGGTGACAAGTGAGATGTGGTGTCACGGAGATGCTGGTGACAACGGAGATGTGGTGGTCAAGGAGATGTGTGTGACAAGGGAGATGTGGTGACAAGGGGGAATGTGGTGACAAGAGAGATTTGGTGGAGCAAGGAGAATGTGGTGGACAAGGAGAGTGGTGACAAAGGAGATGTTGGTGACAAGGAGATGTGTGACAAGAGAGATGTGGTGGCGAAAAGGTGTGGTGGCGACGAGGTGTTGGTGGAAGATGTGGGGACAAGGAGATGTGGGGGCAAGATATATATTTCGGCAAGGATATATGGTGGCACGGATACATGGTGGCACGGATAATATGGTGGCACGGAATTATGTGCGAGAAGTGTGGTGGGCGAGAAAGTGTGGGTGGCAAGGAGATGTGGTGGAAAGAATATTCATGGTGCAAAGGACATGTGTGGCGAGCAGGTGTGTTGGCAACGAAATGTGGTTGCGAGGGGAGGTGTAGAGGCCATAAGGAGCTGTAGGGATGAAGGAGGTGTGGGTGGCAAGTTTTGGTAAAAGGTTCAGGAGAGGGCGGTGGTTGCATGAATGACGAAGGCGAAAGAGCCGAGAAGGGAGGAGGTGGGGCGCTGCTAAAGGGCAAAATACGCAAGGGCCGGACGGGCCCTCTTAATCTGGCGTCTAGGGCAGCGACTTCACGGGATTTCCACAACTCCGGGTGCTAGGAGAGGTAGCAGGCAGTGGCGTTACTCTGCCTTCTTCTTCATAAAGGGGAAACGCAGGGGACAGCATTGTAAATTAGCCCAAGAAAGGAAGGTAGGTGGCACTCAGGTCAGAAAAAACAACAATTAATATATTATACTATAATCTTGACCGTTTTAGAGCTCTTCAAAAAAATGCAGAATGAACAATGGCTTTGTGAAGGCAGTGTTGAGGCAAGTGACACCTGTTTCTATACAAATAATTACGAAATTTAAATGCATAACAAAATTATTGTGGGTTATTCATTATTTTATAGTTCTCCATTTAATTCTCATATAAAAGGTTGATGGTTATGTTTTACTCCCTAGGGGCATACAAGTCTTGGAAGCTATATATTATAATTAATATTAATTAAATATGTTAATTACATTGTATTTACATATATCGAGAAAAAAGATTCTTGGCAGATTGCTACCTTTCTAGTCGGCACCAATTAGTGATTGCA